TAATCGTTGTACTACATGTTTTGTTTATATAAAATGCCTTGTTTTTTCTTGGAACGGTTTTCCGCAGTATCAAATTACTTTTTTATAATGCGAACCTGTTCATTATTGATAATTTCATTTTTTTCTGAAAACATCCCTGATATAATGCCAACGTTAGCACGTGTTTTTTACCAACATCATTATCGTTTAGAAACCAGTCCCTTTCTTAACTTACTAAAGAAACTTTAATCACAAAATCTTGGAAGACCGGGGTTTTCTTTGCTGATTTGTTGAATTGCTTCAACAAGAAGATGACAAGAGGTGACCGACATGTGTTGTTACTGTTAGATAATGTCTCAAGCCATCTGGTTTGTTCTATGTCGTTTCCATATTTGTAAACGTGGGTCAGTGACGTTCGTTGTTCGTTAATTGCAGTAAATGTTTCAAAACCGATATTGTATAATTTAATTTGATAACAAATGCTATCCGTTTGAGCTATAATCACGCTAACGTTATTTTTAGGGCATTACCATTTGCAGAAGGCCTCGGTCTTTTCAACTGCTCTCCTTCGTCGGGCAGTTAATGAAAGGCCTCGGGATTCTGAAGAAAAATAGTGTTACCCTTCTACTATTGCCTGCAAGTTCCTGGAACTATATATACATATACATATCGCTAATATGTATGTGCCTACTTTCTTTCCTTGATGAAATACTCAAAACACGTAGCCCTACTGAACACGCATTATGCATGTGAATCGCACATTTCGACAGTAATCAATCAATCTCTAACTATTAATTTATTGCGGCCTTGCCATCTACGTGCTTGGCAAGTGTGTGATTTTGGCTTATGGATACAAAAGCACGAGAACGCGAGATCGCGACATTGGTCAAGTGTCGCGATCTCGCGTTCTCGTGTTTTTGTGCTAATTGCCTATACAGTTATATGTAACTATTTTCAAAAACACGAGAACGCGACACTTGCCCAATGTCGCAATCTCGCGTTCTCGTGTTTTTGTGCTAATTGCCTATACACTTATATGTAACTATTTTAAAAAACACGAGATCGCGACACTTGGTAAATGTCGCGATCTCGCGTTCTCGTGCTAATTGCCTATACATTTAACAAACCAAAAGACCCCGAGAGCTCTCTCACAGGGAACACTATCCCATACGTCTGCAGCTGTACAAATAAACTTATTCGACGTCACGTGGCTCTGTTACAATCATATATTTTAAAATATATGTATAGCATTCCTGGATATTATAACCCGTGTTCGTTTCTCAACTGATCACTAAGTTTGTTTCAGATGTTTCACAAAGGTGTCAAGTCTCATCGGTCAGCTAAGATAACACATGTGACAATTATGTTCATGATGTCCATGGAGTTAGAAAGCAATGAACAATCAATCAATTATCGGCTAATCCTTTGAACCAAGTATGGTGTTTTTACATCGGCACATGATATGAGTGTATCCCGTCTGCTTTAGTAAACCTACACATGTAAACACTTACTTTTGACAAATCCACTGTGCAAGATAACGGTGATTAATCAATGAACGTATTTTCTGTGGAACTTTTGATGGCGAGGAATGATCCGTTTACAAAAAAGTAAATGAACTGATCACTCCTATTGTCGGGCTGCCAGGTGAATATTACATAACATACATTTCACCTCACTTCAAACCTGGATTCAGATAAAATAATTACCCCAGACACAAGACATGCAAATGGGAACCTTTGTCAGGTAATCTGAGTGGTGCTACCACTAACTATACCTATAATAAGTTCATTAACTGAGCTTCGAGTGACTGGCAACAAAGACACAGGTGTAGGGTTATGCCAGAAAACGTGGATGACAACAAGAGATAGCAATCGTATTATCCGCGCAGTCCAAAATCCGAAAATGCTTTCACTGCTGGGATACCATTTTTTAAACTATTTAACTATAACCATATGGGGTATTTCCAAATAACGACATCTCATGAGCTTCCATCGTTCTTTTTGTCCGTTTGTTTAGGCAGAAGAAATTAATTAAAATGCGCCCTTTGTCTGAGTTTTCATAGAATACAGGTAACCAGTGTTCTTGAAGACGGTAGCCCAGTCTCTTGTCACGCTCAGTTGCGTCAGCTAGCAAATCGACTTACGGCAGATAGTGAGTCCCAGCTGGCAGCGTTAGACAGCCGAGAAGAAGATTAGTGCCCCTTTAAACGGACAAGCCGGGATATAACTGAAATATCATTACTGTTCAAAGCCGTGTTAAGCCAATCACACTCACTTATTCAGAGCAATGCCGGTCCCTCAGGCTGGATATTGGGGGTACTTTTCCAGTATAAGCATGCCTGTCATTTGGATGTTAAGGCCGCAATAAATTAATAGTTACAGTTTGATTGATTTTTTAAAAACATGGGAGACAGGAGGCATTTTATTTTTAACGTTTTATTTTGTTCTTATCGACCTACTTTAGGCATATGTGTACAATTGCTGTCGACGGGTGCGATTCACATGCATCATGTGTGTTCAGTAGGGCTACGTGTACGGAGTATTTCCTCAGGTAAAGAAAGTAGGAACACTCATATTAACGATACTTCTATTTCTAGGAATTTGAAGGCATTAGAATAATGTAAGGCAGGATGTTTTGTTGTCAGGCGGGAGCGGATGAAAATCTATTAATTAAAGTAGCGAATATGGTATCGTATAAAAGAAACATCGGACAATATCATTTTAGCCGAAGGCTACAAATTGGTCTGTGAGAATTGTATTTTAATGAATATTATAGCGCGTAAAAAATTACCTCATTGAGAAACTCACTGGCTTGTGATTATTATAACTGACAGTGTAGCCGCGAATAGCAATAAGCAATATTACTCACTCACTGACGGGGATAGTTTTGTTTCCAGCTTTCGGACACATTAATGTTTTCACTATCATTGGACATTCATGTACACAATTTCTTTTGTTAAATTATATTGAGCACGTTGAGGGTATAACAATAAAGTACATAGGAAAGTGTCACAACGGGAGAGGACTCTACTCTATTGCACATAGGACTTTGTGTTTGTAAATTGCATAGCATTTTCAAGCTCGTCATAATTTTGCTAATTGCTACTTGGAGAATGAAGAAGCATGACCAAAGGACTACTAACGTGCGCATGCGCCTTGACCTATGATATTACGCATGCGCACGGACAACGTCTGAAACGCGAGATCGCGAGAAAATGAAATGTCGCATTCTCGCGATTTCGTGGCCTAATTTGACAAGTCGAGATTGCGAGACTGCGAGATTTTTGCATCATGTCCAAATGTCGCAATACTGCGTTGTCGACTTTTGACAAAAAGTGCTATGTGATGAAAACACAAGAATGCGAGATCGCGAGAATGCGAGATTCTGACCAAATCTCGCATTCTCGTGTTTTGGGCATATTTACCACGTTTCCAAAGGTCGAGACCGCGAGAATGCGAGATCGCGAGAATGTCCGGGGAAGAATAGGTCTTCAGCAACCCATACTTGCCGTCAAAGGCGACTAACGGGATTCGGTGGTCGGGCTCGCTGATTTGGTTGATGCATGTCATCGATCCCAAGTGCGTGGATCGATGCTCATGATATCAATCTCTTGATTGTCTGGTCCAGACTCGATTATTTACAGACCGCCGTCATATAGCTGGAATATTGCTGAGTGCGGCGTTAAACAACAAACCAACAACAACAACAATACAATATTATGTATCCTAGCTTCAGCAAACTTGCTACATTAACCTGTAGATATGCCAAGCGCTCAATTCCACTTGCCGAGAGGCATAAGAAATATTGTATTTTATCCAACAATATACATATTAACATGGTAGAAGATGAATGTCATTTCTCAACACAATGTAACTTTAATGATGACGTGCTTTTATCTTTTTAAAGTCGCAATGCAAAAAAATCCTTTACTTATCATTTTAATGATGACGATAAGTATATTTATTATATACATAAGTATGAATTATATAGATATATAGTGAAAATATAAAAGGTATTGTGAAATAAATTTGAAAAATGATATTTCACTGCAGTGAAAATATAAGCTTATATTTTCACCGGTGAAAATATAAGGTTTGAACCGGAACTACTTTCATCTCGAGTTACTTCCCCTTGATACAAAGGGACATAATTTCATTATTACCTCCCTTGGATCGTCTGCTAGCCGAAATGAGCGACAACATAGAGAGAGGTGATGTGGATAATTTATTATCTGCAATAGATTACAGCATACTTGGTGATAAAAAGTATAAATCTATCAGTGATGATGATGTTTCAAGGTTTCTTCGAGATCTGGAAAATGAAAACACAAGAAAGAAGACAGATAGAGACATTAGAATTATCAGTGAGTACCTAGTGATGGTTGAGGGGGAAACTAGAAAAAATGAAGAAATCGATACAGTATCTTTAGATTCCTATTTGTCAAGATTTTTTTCTGTCAGTAAAAAAGAATGATGGATCAGAATATGAACCAGCTACCAATCTTCCCTACAAAGGTACTTGAAACAAATGGGTTCTACATTTAACATAATTTCCGATATCACATTTGCAAGATCTAGAGAAACACTCAAATGCAAACAAAAAGAACTTAAATCAATGGCCAAGGCTGCTGAAGAGCTGTCAGATATGGATATTGATGCCATGTACGATGCCAAGACCCTCGGAAGTGATAACCCACACAGCCTCCTTCACACCATGTGGATGATTTGTTGTCTGGACTTCGGCATGAGAACTGGAAAGGAAACCAGAAGTTTACAATGGGGAGACATTGACATTAGAAATGATGATGATGGATCCGAGTATCTTATCTTTATAAGTGAGCGACAAACAAAAACAAGACCTGGGGATAATCCTAAAAACATACGGCAAATAAAACCAAGAGCCTATGCAACACCAGAAGACCTGGAAAAATGCCGTGTCAATGCATATGAATTGTACAGACAAAGACGACCACCAGCCTCTTGTACACCAGACAGTCCATTTTTTCTAGCAGTCAATAACAACAGGAAGGAACAGTCGTACTGGTACAAAAATGCCCCACTTGGTGTCAACAAGCTATATGGAATTATGAAGGCTATGACAGGAGGTGCTGACATAGCTGATGACAAAAGATTGACACCATACAGGTAAATATTCAATATCTATATTAGTTTTGGATAAACACTTCAGTATAATATTGGGAAATACAATGACAATCAGCCATAAAGTAAGTCAAAATAAATTAGGTAATAAATATCAAATAAATGGCATGATATTGAATATACCTGAATCATTTGGGTTTTTTTTCAGTATGAGGAAACACCTGGTCCAGAAGTTGACAGACAGTGGCGTTTCTCCCAATGACATCATTCAGATATCTGGTGAGATGACAGCTGTAAACATAAAAAAATGAATTTATGAAATATTTATACTACATATATTAAAACAATCAAAATTATATGGAAAAAACATATTTAGAAATAGATTTTGAAGGTTGGTATTCCACTGAAGTGAAAATAAACATTAATTTTATCTACACTTAATTAATAGGTCTGGGGACAATAACAAATTTAGTTTCCTTTTTAAATATCAATTGTTAAAATGTGTTTGTATAAGTTAGTTATATTCATTTTGTTGGTATTTTGAATATTATGAGAACATATATTGGTAAAAAAAATAAACATTTGGCCTCATGCTATAAACTTGTTGTTTTAAGGCAATAAAGTAATGAAATACCAAATACAAAATAAAATACTCTTTAGAGAAATACAAATATCATTCATTCATCTTTCAAAATATGGATAAAATGTTATTTTGAATTATTTTGTTTTACAAATTTCAGGCCACAAAAACGTGAATTCGATAAATAATTACTCAAGTATGAATACTGAAAAGCAGAAGGGAATATCTCGCATTCTGTCAAACAGTAACACCGCCAGCAGCACAGTCACAACAGCTGATCGAAATCCGGACTCGGCACCAATGCAGGGTGAATTTGCGATGCAATCTGTGTCCAGCCGCCTTCAGAATCAACTTTTTCTGACAAGCTTATTGTCTGAAAATACCATCAACGGAAATGTTAACATATGTCTATCGCCTGACATGTTCAATGTATCAATGTCCTCCGAAAAAAACACTGCAAATGCGACAACATCGAACACACGTGAAGACGAGTTACCACCATTGAAAAGACCATGCTTGCAATAGATTGACAAGATCATCTTGAAATATGGCATAAATAATGTTCGTCATAAAATATTGACAACAGAATATGTTTGGACTTACCTTTTCACGTTCATATTCAGTGTTTGTTATATCCTTTTACGTTGTTGACTTTGTTGACAAAAGTTCAAACTTTCGAAGCGAAGCGAGTGCGCGACGTTGTTTTTCTCTGAACACAATCAGCTGACTATGGATTATTATGTATTCCTACGCATTGACGTTAGTGCGAAACATTGTTTGGACAATATGTTGTATACAATAATACATAAAGAAATTGATAAAATGCCAATTTGAATAAATGTTTTTGATTCACATTTGTATTTTGTTTTCTTTGACAATTTGAAATGAGTATAAATTGAGCGAACTATTTACTTCACCGTAGTAAAAGCGACAGATCGTATGTGAGCAGGTCGAGACGCGAGAAATATCGTCGTTCTCGTAATTGAAAGATCTTACTAAATTTCAATTTAAAATATGTAAAAATGGGAGATGTATATAATAAATAGACTACTTCAAGCTTTTTTGTCGAATACGATTTATATTTCGTCTCGTGAAGCCTCAAACCCCTTCGATCTCGAAACAATATTGGGTTTGAGGCTTCACGAGACGAAATCGTATTCGACAAAAAGCATGAAGTAGCCTCTATATAATCCTTTGGAATGATATCAATCTTCAAAATCTTTTCGCTTCAACACTTTTTAAGACATTTAAAGGACGGCAAACGATGGCAAAACATATCCCATATTATAGCTGTTATAAGTTACTATTTTTATGCCTCATATATGTGTACATATTTTAGTATAGTGAGTGCGTGAGTTAATATTTAACGTCAGTATTTCAGCCATATCGTGACGAGAAGTTATACAGTTACAATACTGAATATAAAGCTGTCAACGATGGACAGTTCAATAACTAGAATATCGCAGATTTGATTTAAAACTAGTTGAGAATATTAAAAGGTAGTAAATATTAGAAAACAACACAATATAAAAATGGGCGAGAGATCGTCAGTCACTGAAGGGTTATCACAATCCTAGAAATTCTCCAACACAAATACATATGCACATCGTGACGCCATTGAACGAAAATATAACGTTTACTCATTGCTGACACTTCACAGAGTACATCAAATAAAAAACTTGCGCTAGATTATTATCTTTTCTAAATTCATGGATCCGTCCCTGTAATCTCATTAATATACTATACAATCACACTAGTGTTCTCAGTCATGGCAGTGCAATTATACATGAAACCTAGGAAACCTTTAACATCTTGCACTCGAAATGTCCCAATAAATGATAAAATTCCCCACCATGTTCACCAAATAAATGCAGTGTTTATGTTGTGATAAAAATATTTCAATGACACTGCGCTCGAAGATATCTGAACCCAATAGGACGGTGTCGTGCACACATCGCGGTGATACCACTGTGGCAGGTGTTATTGTAAGTTCAACATTATATAGACTCTAGCTACATATAGTTTCAATAATTGGAAGAACGTGTTTCTCTTCAGGTGTAACATAGATGACTGTGGCGTAAAACAACTCACCCTTCTTTTGAATTAATAGACATGGAGAACTCCACCGACACACCACAAGAGCAGGATGCAAATGCTCTCGTTACCTTTCTACAGGGAAGCAATAACAGCACACCCGAGGCTATTGTCAATGGCTTTTCCAAATATAGCCAGGACTATGAAAAGGTGAGTATAATTCCAAAAGATTCGTGATCAAATTACCTAAAACTGACATACTATCAGACATAAGTATGTCGGTGAACATATTTGAATGCAGATCAAACAAAATGACATGTACATTTACATGAACATGAATTGTAAACCTATAGAAAATGTGTTCTGTGTTGTGATTGGCTAATTTGGGTCACATGACCAAATGTCAAAGGGTGAAAATACGATTTGCATTCCCTGAAGCAAGCGACCGAATCACTGTGTAGGAATCCATAATTACACAGCATTTTTTGCATACTAATTAACATGGACGCCATGGCTCAGCTGACTCAGGAAATTAATTTCTCGCGGCCTTCAGCAGAAGAAATATTTGCAGAAATGGATGAATCTGTTTTGCATCAACTCTTATCGGATGATTGTGAGTAAAGTTCATATTTTGTTTTCACTTTTAAAAGCCTATTTGGATTTTTTCACAAAACCATGATTGACACCTGTCAAAAGTCATCATCTTGCTGTGCTATCATTTTCCTAAACAATTTTAATCATAATGGTTCGTTTCCAACCCTTTAAATGATGAACATTCTTTTCAACGATAATGAAAATTTTATTCTATTAAAACATGACAACGTCTTGAACGCCGCGTCTGATGATGCTACGTTGCCCGGTTAAGCATCTCGTCAGCCAGATGTTCCCTTGGCTCTTCCAAAATGTGAAGCCCCCACTGGACGATTTTGCCAAACTGATGAAATCAAACTGCAACAATTAATGACAGAAACAACTGCAAAAAGCACATCAAGAAGTGCTATTTGGGCCGTGAAAGTCTTCCGGCGTAAGATTGTTTACAAGTACAGTGATGACAACAAATTAGAGTTATGCCCCTTCCCATTTGCTAAAAAAAATAAACAAAAATCACCTCAAACAACAAATAGTAAATAGTTTGTTAATTAATGAAATATTACATATTTCTGACTGATTTTAACTCCAATGTTTTAAAAACTAAGATTGAGTTCCAGTGACAATTGCTGAAGACCTATTCTACCCCGGAATCACATAATATTGTAAACATGGACATGATATTGTAAACATGGATCGTACAAAAACTCTACCGAAAATTTATGTTTCACCATGATTCCATGGAAACGGCAAAAATAAAAAAAATCAGAATCTTCAAACTAGCAGAAGGCAAAAGTACTCATTGTGGTAAATGTGTGTTACAAGCTTGATGAAGCTAGGATGCATAGTTAAAAAGATATGGGCCGTACAAAACACCCACCCTAAAAGTTAAAGTTTCTTAATGTGTCCATGGAAACGGCAACAATTAAAAAAATCAGAATCTTCAAACTAGCAAAAGGCACAAGTACTCATTGTGGTAAATGTGTGTAGCTGGTTTGGTGAAGCTAGGGTACATGGTTAAAAAGATATGGGCCGTACAAAACACCCACCCTAAAAGTTTAAGTTTCTAATGTTTCCATGGAAACGGCAAAAATTAAAAAATTCAGAATCTCAAACTAGCAAAAGGCACAAGTACTCATTGTGGTTAATGTGTGTAGAAAGTAAGGTGAAGCTAGGGTGCATAGATAAAAAGATATAGGCCGTACAAAACACCCACCCTAAAAGTTTAAGTTTCTTAATGTTTCCATGGAAACGGCAAAAATAAAAAAATAAAAAATTCAGAATCTTCAAACTAGCAAAAGGCACAAGTACTCATTGTGGTAAATGTGTGTAGCAAATTTTGTGAAGCTAGGGTGCATTGTTAAAAAGTTAGGGGCCGTACAAACGGACGGACGGACGAACGGAACGCTATATACCCCCGATTTACTTCGTAAACGGGGGTAAAATAAGGTGGATTAAATATATATATATACATGAATAATATGCTAAACAAATTAATTAAAAAAACATTACCTACAGAATGTCCTGTCAATATTGAGTTTTTTATGCCTAAATATTTACGAATACAAATAAGACTAATAAACGCTAACGCTTTCGGGTCTCGAGATGAATTCACAAGATGCAAATACTCGATAAAATCCCGGAAATAGACACACACATAGTATTTATCTTCAAAATAATCTAATTCTCAAATAAAAATACTTATCTGAATTTTTACTTTGTTTTCAGAATGGCTTGATGTTCGTGGCCTTGTTAGGGACTTTGAACTGCTTCCTGCTGGGGAGTTGAATGAGAGACTCCGGATTTTCTATGCAGAAGTGCGAAACACGAACGGTGATTTGTATTCCTAGTCGGCCTATGCTGGATTGAGGGCTGCGATTCATCGCCATAATCGTTCTGCCCCATTTGAAAGAACCATCAATATTTTAAGTGGCGAGGAATTTCATTCTGCCAATAACATTTTTCTTTCTATGCTAAGAAAGCTAAAAAAAGAGGGTCTTGACAAGTCCACGCTTCATGCGGCCATCACTTTGTCACAACTTGAATCTATCCGTCAGAGTTTTAATTTGTCCGACCCCACTATGCTCCAAAGAAAAGTTTGGTTTGACATCACTTTGGGATCTGCTAGGCGGGGGAATGAAAATCAGCGAGAGTTAAATGTTTCTTCTTTCAGAGTCGATTCAGATGAAGACGGGTTTAAATTCCTGGAAATAACTAATAAAATCACAGGGGATATGATAAGGACGGGATTGAGCCCCCAAAACGCGTTTATGCCACTGGTACTTCTTCTTGTCCCGTTGCTTCCTTCGAAACTTACATTTCCCACTTGAATGCCGATAATTCCGCGTTTTATCAGCAGCCGAAACGGCCTTTGAAGGCCTTGGATTCTGTGTGGTACACGACACGTCCTCTGGGCAAAAACAGCATTTCTCCACTTATGAAAGACATCAGCAAATCAGCAAATCTGCCAAAAACTTACACAAATCACTGTCTTCAGTAACTCTATTGTCAAACGCAGGCATTTCCTCACGCGAAATATGCAAAATCACTGGCCATCGAAAAGACCAGTCCCTGAAATCCTACACCTTTAATTCGACCTCTGTCCAAAAGCGCGAATATTCTAACATCTTGCAGGGAAACGAATCTGTATCTTGTAATCAACGCGAGCCTTTCTCAAATGTGACAAACTTCCTCAATTTTCATCGGAAACCGGCACATCACTTGGGTTGTTTCAACTGTCAAACAACAACAACATCACTATCAACAACTATTTTAAGTGAATTGGGTCACGACTCAGCATGGTCGCGTCTCGGCAACTCGGATGAGTCTAAATTGCGAAAAGGGGTGTAAGCTTTGAAGGCAAAATTAGTGAAATACTTAATTGTTACTTACATGAAAGTGAATGCAGCTTGCAAATTGTAATAAAACATGAATTTAAATGTGAAAACTTTGTTTTTATTTTTGATTTGATAAGCTAAACAAGCCAATGTTATTGAATAAAAACAGAGGTTAATTCACCCTTCCTGCAAATAGAATAGCTCAACCTTTTTGGATCGTTCCAAATTCTCAAAAGGAATACGATTTTCATTTATTTTCTTGATAAACCTAGTTTTCATGGATTTTTGAGAAATAAATATAATTTGAAAATAGAATTAAAATATGGAAGTGATAATCAAACAAAGCATTAATGAAAATAAATTTCTTCCAAATGGATGAAGTCACACAAGTCTTCCCCTCTTGTCAAGTGGTAGCAGCCACGTGCATCATGGCAACGATAGAACTTTTGGACGTTGACGCATCACAACTGTGATAGCTCGCTGAGTTAAAGAGTGCGACAGTTCTTTTGCATATTGAAATACAAAATTAACATTCATAACAAATATTTTGATTTTCTCTATTATTTTCTTTAATTAAAAAAATTATAATGAAATAATTACCAAAATCACAATCATCATAGCAACAACAGAACGTTCGATGTTGACGCCTCACAACCGAGTAAGTACGAGGTGTTAAAGAGTGCGCATGTTTTTTTCTTAATAAAACAATAGGTTTATAATATCGATAAATACTATGTGTGTGTCTATTTCCGGGATTTTATCGAGTATTTGCATCTTGGAAATTTTCATTCGAGCCCCTCAAGCTAACGCTTTCGGGTCTCGAGAGGAATTTCCAAGATGCAAATACTAGATAAAATCCCGGAAATAGACACACACATAGTACTTATCTTCTAAATAATCTTCTTCTCAAATAAAAGGCGATTATGTAAAAGAACTCTAGAATACTAGGCCCTAAATGCATGACACTTCTTGTTACAAGGGCTACTTCTTGTCCTTTCTTTATTCTCCTGATAAAGGGACAAGAAGTAGCCCTGAAATGTCGTTGCAAAGAAAAAAATATTTGTTATCCACAAAAGGTTGTCACATATTCATGTTCTTATGTATTCTAATTGTCTATCAAATACCTCTTTTATACCCCCTAATAATATCATACACATACTGACATAGTCGCCTGAAAACAAACATAAATAAAGATATTATCATCTTAAATCTGTGATGAATCATACTTTTAGCTATGGGTAATGTTTTGCTTCAGTTTTCGTCAATTTTTACCTTTTACGCCGAATTGAACCTGTTTCGTGGGATAATCGAGACGTTGACGTTATATATTTTATAATGTTGACATTGCTGATTGAAACAGCTGATCTCAATGTCGCATCACCGTGAAGGTGTATTGAATGAGCTATATTAAGTGTGACGTACATTTATACAGGTTTTTAAAGCAGTGAACTTCAACGGATATGTGGAAACAGCCCGGACTGCCGCCGAGTTGTTTCCCAGCAACAGAGAGGATGTAAACATACTAGACGTAGCTGCAGGAACTGGGCTTTGTGCAGGCGAGGTAAACAGATGGCTTCACAATTATTTAAAGACTTGATCATGACAGCGCGCAATATTTAATACCACTGTGAGGCTGTTCATAATAATTTATATAACAGAACCAATTATACGCAAAGTTATCAAGGTGGTTGAAGTATGTTCCTTCTGAGGTTGATGAATAGCCGGCAGCATCCTTTCCCTTGGATTGGCCTCGTGATGTCAAAGGATAAGTCAAAATAATGTATAAACAAACTGGAATACTTGTAATTTGAGCAAAACTTCAGCATAAGATTCCCGTCGCCAGCGAAGAACCCCTTTAAATTAAGACCGAAATTACAGCTGTTTACTTCCTGGTCGTGGGGCGTAAGGAAGGTAAATTTCGTCTGAGGCAAAATGTAATTTCGGAAAGTGAAAAATAAGTTAGTAAGAGGTTTTCTTGGTTTGTCCTTTTCAGGACAAATATACTTATAATTATACCGATACGTTCAGTGGGGTTTCTCCGAGGTCAGACATCAAGAATCAAACAAAAATATATTGTTTTGCTAATTCGGGTCAGAGTTGTTCCCCAGGAACAATGCTGTTCGTAAGGGTATCTGGTGTCCAACCTCGATGACTTAGCTGATTTGATATCGTCGTGCCCCCATGGCAAGGATCGTCGCTTCTTTGACTGCTCAGTATTATGATATTTATATGCGAATTCGTTTGTTTGATTCTCATGCATCTTTTGTCAATAAATTGAGATGATTTATTTGTTATATTATTATATAAACGAATATTTCATTACTTTCTTATTTCTTTACATCTGTAGTTTTGCATTACAGCTTTACACTCATGGTTTTCGGAAACTAGATGCGCTTGACCCATCGATGGGGATGCTGGATGAGGCGAGAAAGAAGGCACTGTACAACCAGTACTTCAATGTATCAATGGGAGAAAACACTTTAGATATTGAAAGTGGTACGTAAATATTTCTTGTATTTCCAATTTTCTATGTACACTGCTTTCTATGTAAATGATAAAAATAGATTAAATGTTACAGATACCTACGACGCAGTAACGATATCAGGGATGAGTACAGTGATATTGAAACAGCTACCGATAAAAGCATTTGAGGAGCTCATACGAATTGTAAAACCAGGTAATTTTGTTTTAATGAATTCAATTTGCTTATCAAAAACGCTGATTACAATACCGCATGTAAAAAATGTGGATAACAATACCAGAGAAATAATTGCTTATGGTGTATTCATAAGTTTTATGAAAATAAATAGTCACAATAATGAACATGACTCTCTGGCGTTGATACTACGTTGACATATTCTTGTTTGCATGGCTTAACGCTCTCTGTAATAGCGTGTACATTATCTTGTATTTAGACTTACATAGACTTTCTCTAATAAAGTAAACTCATACAGAGCCAATAACATTTTCATAATATTATGTTATTTTCTGTCCAGGAGGCTACATCGTCAATACAGCAAACATCAAATTGTTCCCGGAAGATGGAGACGAGCATGCCAAGATATTTAGAAGTAACATGAAGACTTTGACTATTCAGGGAAAATGGGAGCAATTTCAATTTCGGCGTTTCAAGGAATATGTCGAAGGAGAAGATGGTGTTGTTTCAACCCACAGAGTCCTATAGAGTCCTATGATTACTTTATCACAAAAAAAACGCACCTTTACTTTTGTCCAGCGTTATCATAACCTATTGTCTGCAATAGGTTTTGCAAGTGTATGGTTATTACCTGCTAGTTCCTGACACCCTCTACATTTCCAGAATTCTTTCAAGAAGAATTTGTAAACGGTAGCCTATTCTCACTGAAATACATCTCATCTGGAGTACCCCAAGGTTCTGTCCTTAGTCATTTTTCATTCCCTGTATGGATAGACGATTTGGCCGATAATCTCGTTTATTTGCTGATGACTGTCCATTAGTGGATCGTCTGTTAGAATTAACTATCTGGAAGAACCTTATGTGATGTACTGTCTTACCTCTACAACCGGTCACGTTTTTGGTTTGTAAAATTTAATCCCGACAAAATAACATTACACAAACAATGTTACCAAACCAAATTTTGTCCATAACAATATGTGTCCTCATCCTTCGAATACTCATAAACAACTCGGTGTTATTTTATCTCAAGTTATGAAATGATCTGACCATACTGACAGTATTAGCAGGACTGCATCGAAAATAATATTTTCTTTGCGAAAACTAAAGTATGTACTCGATAGCTCAACATTAACTGTAGTACATTATTGATACAGCCTCTTCTTGAACTGTACATTTGTAAACTCTCATAGCCTAGAAACGAGTCAATTGGATGCGCGAGAATAGTTAGTGATCTTGCCAAATTCGCATCTCGAACCAGCTTATATAATGAAACAGGCTGGGAAACACAATCAAAGAGAAATGACACACTGTACTTGATATATGTTAACATCTTGTGCACACATCTAAGGTGTTTTTTTCGAATGTTCTAATTATAATCCCATTACAATTTCATTATATAACAATATTTGATCTGTTGGAGGGCATTTTATCGATCCTAACAATTCTCTATGGTGATATTTCATGCTTATTAATTAATTTATGTTTAATATTTATGCTGATGTCCACTGTATGTTTATGGAAAGAGCGTCGGAAGTCGGAAAACTTTGGCCAAATTTGATCTTTTAATGTCAATAAAATATGTCACATACGTGTCGTTAATCATAAATTGAAAAGATGAGTGATTAATTGACAATTGGTCATCATTTAGAATCCCACCGATTCACATTAAAGTCCATCCTATCTTTGGAGCTGTGATAAGTATCCTTCTCATTTCTTTAGCCGACATACTCAGTGTCTTCGTTTTGGGTGCCCTAATGACATACTGTTATCTTCGAGGGTTGATTTTAACTTCGGAGCCTCATATAAAAAGACTTGACCTAGCTAAAGACATTAAAATGATTTATCTTTCAACATAATCCCATTCCACGTTGATATACACATGTGCTATGGCGTTAGCGAAGGTCGTTCAGAATAAATGTACTAGTTTTAGAGCTCCACACAGACATATGTTGGGAAGTTCGTTGCCTAGCCTGTATATACTTTCTGTTAGGCAATATAATCTACGTCGCGTAGGATACGAACAGTATTATTTTGTCCAAACACCGCTGTTCGTGGGTTACTGAGGTCACGTGACCTGTCCCCCCCATTCACGTACACGCTTCTGGCGTATTATTAGAAGATATTGAAGCGTGTAGAATCCAAATATTATAGACTACCTCCCTGGTTGTTGTACAAATAGTGTTAGTTACCCCCTTCTATATAATTAGGTATATCTTCACTCGTCACGCCGAAGACCCGGGTTCGATTCCCGACATGGGTACAATGCGTGAAGCCCATTTCTGGTGTCCCCCGCCGTGATATTGCTGGAATATTGCTAAAAGCGGCGTAAAACCAAACTCACTCACTAATTAGGTATATCAATTCCATAGTCATTGTAATGGAATCTGTTCTATGGGGTATTCACTGCCAATTTCTTCTCATAATCAGCTGTTAACTTTGGTGTCCCCAAGCACCGATACTCAGTGTGGTCATTGGGCAATTGTGCAAATAGCAAACACAAATGAAATCCTGTCTACATGGTCACATGCGATGATTGTTAAGATCACGCTGTCGACAACATCAGTCAACATGGCAGTCTATATTCTTTCCCAAGATCCTGTTATACTTATACTGTCATATTTCGTTCAGTGCCGGAGGTGGGTAGTTGTGCGGGGAGACAACTCTGTCGATTACTTTTGGGGTTTCTTATAGACCCTATTGGAGACAACTCTGATTGTCTTGTTTACAAAGTGAGTTGCAGGGCGCTTCAATTGTGCTGCAATGTCTTCTTGATAAAATGTTTTTCACTCAAAATCCATTTATTATAGGTGAGGTGAAATGGGGTTTAACGTCGCGTCCAAGATTATTGCACTTATATAGCGACGTGCATGTACGTGTGTGTGTTTGTGTGTCTGCTTGCACTAGTCCGGACTGATGCCGATTTATTGTGCTAGCTCTCTGAGATACCATGCCGCAGTTTAACATGAATACCCCACTCAGACACAGTATACTGACTCCGCGCCGACCAGTCCTTGTTTTAGCCCCTTAATGCCGAGCGCATATCTTTAGTGAAACACAAGTAGGATTTAGACCAGAATCTTCCACCATAGACCAACTATTTACTCGTCAAGCAACTGTACAGAAATACATCTCAAAGACAAAGGGTAGATTTTACTACATCTTTATTGACTTTACAAAGGCTTTCGACAAAGTAAACCACAACTATCTTTTAAAAAGTTTAAATCGAGTGGGAATAAATGGTAACTTTCTACGGTTACTAGTATCTATGTACTCTGATTAATAATCTTCTGTTCGATTGAAGGAAGTCTTTCTGATTATTTCACCTGTTATGTCAGTACCCGTCAGGGTTGTGTTCTGAGTCCGAAACTTTTAATTATCATTTCGAATGACCTTACAGTGATGTTGGAAAAAAAATGGTGGTCAAGGCTTACTTATGTATAGTGACATGCTACATCTATTTGCATTATTATACGCAGACGATGTATCATGGACAGTGCTTGACACTACAAAAGAGAATTATTGTTCTTGAAAATTTCTGCGTATCCGCTGGAATGGAAGTAAATTCAGAGAAAACAACATCGATCCATAGCTAGAGGTACAGCTATCTACAAAGGTTCATGACCATTGGTCAAAAATGAAAGCAAATGTCGTCTGAGAAAACAATTTGTGAATGCTTGACTTCCTCGTGATATGAGAACATCTAACGTAGGTTTCAGGGGTATTAATGACCTGATCTCGTTCAAAATTGGTCATAGTCAAATAGGAAATTCCCTTCACTGGTTTATGGCCTGAGCTGGAAATAAGAGATATGTCAAGCAATATTCCATAAGTTCCAGCTTTTGGTGTCTACATTTCACATCTTTTAAGGTACAATAGTGAGTGAATGAGTTGTTTGACAAAATTTGACATTTATAATATACATTTAAACTGTATAAAATTCTGCCGATGAAGGACAGTATAATAACTAGAATATCAAAGATTTACGTACAACTAGTTAGAGAGCATGTTCAAATAAATTAGCATTTTACAACACAATAAAAAAAATGGGCCATACATGTAGATCGCCAACAACTGAAGGTAGATCACTATGCTAGGGTCCATGGGGACTTACAGTACCTTTGCTTCCTGCATGGACCCCAGCCGGATTTACATCATCCCTTCATGATCAGCTGTTGTTGATTATTGACAAATTTAACAAAAGTTAAATAAACAAATATCCTATGATTAAAAATGTGGTGGAAAAAAACTACTTCTAATGACGTTGTCTAACATACCCTCTCTGGGGGACAATAATTTTACACAACTTCAACCCCCATCAAGGGTAAAGCCACAATCTCAGTTAACAAATTTCTTTCTACCCAGTCTAAAAGGCCATTTGTTAATTACAAAACATATGTTTCAAAACTTATCTGATAGTTCTATTTGTTTTAAAACATGTGTATACCGAGAATGGAACAATACGACATCGTTTTAAAATGACCTCTTCAAATCTGGACTGACAACCCAAGTGGGTGTAACCGATATTTGGTTTTATTGCATTTGAGTGTGTGAGTTGGCTTTAACACCGCTTTTAACAGTATTCCAGTTATATCACGGCGTGTCAGCTTAATGTGGGCGGAAAGCCCGAAGTGATGCAGGTATCAGACGTTGACCACTTCGATGAAACCCACGAGCACGGGTATGGTGCTGACAAACCAAGAAACATAATCGGGGCGACCCGGGATTCGAACCCACAATCATAGGTTTCTGGCGTGCCCAAGGGACGCAACTCTGCATAGCGAATCGCGGCGCCTTAGACGACTGGGCCACCCGTGAAGAGCTATTAGCGTTACCCAGCACTCACCACGGGGAGGTTGCTCGTCATGAGTGCCAAGGTACAACAGAGTAAGTTCTTTCTTCGAAGATTTCAAAGAGAGTCATACGACTCTTGCTCAAATGTGTTATGGTAAACATGTGGAGGACATTTCCAGTTCCAACTATCAACTTGTTCCATATACTTCCTTGGGTTTTTTTTTCCGGATGAACAATTGATTTACCTGTGCGTGTGTTGTGATGGATGCAACCGGTAGGGCCGGATATGCTCACCCGTTCGCAAACACCTAGTATTATCACTATTTGTTAGTGCTTCCTAAATCAATCCTAAGTCAACGACAGAGAAGAATTAACTCCATTATCTGAGGAAACGGTTTCAGTTGTCGTAAAATGAATCACTGAAAATCAGTTACGACACCATGCTTATGATACAGTCGGAATCGAACAATGTACTCTGATTTTAACAGATATTTCTTATGATTTTGGAAAGGATTTTGTCACGTTATGTCTTATCAATCTGAAAATTGTCATCTTAGTTATTAAAACATTTGCAGAAATAGGAGAACACATGCTGACATTCGAGACCACGAGATCGTTCATTAGATTGAGATGGTCTTTGTTGTCTTTTCATTGTTTCACAGCTGCATTAACATAATCGATATTACCTTTCACTTGATGCGATTATAAACAATCACATTGTTGTATTAATATTGGTGTTTGAGTCACCAATGTGGAGCGATATTGGCATCCCATTATTATCAATTTGTCTGTTTGTGGATTTGACATTAATTTATCGTCACATAGACTTCTGCGTGTAAATGTGTTTATATCGTATGAACGAGATAGTTCCATCCTAATTTCATAGGCATGTTAACGTACGATTGTTTAATGCTATAAATTATCTCATAATAAATACCCATTCCAAGTGTTAATTCAGTTTTAAGGTCTTTAACAAAGTATTTAAATACTATTCAATACAACCGTATACTTCGCCGAACAGAACAGAATGTATGAAAACATATAAAGCTTGCAATTTGTCCACGACCTTAATACTATATATACATTGTGTGAAAAGTGATAAGAGGACACAGACCGACTTTTGTCCTGAGATAGATGTGTTTGGAACAGCTATGAAATGAAGACATCTTTCAATATGTGAGAATAATTCTTTTTGGTGGTAAAAGAAATCATCATAAGAAATAAATATTTCAATTTCAACCAAACGATTTCTTTGTTTATATCTTATACATATAAGTATAGTACATCTGACATTGAGGCAATCCTTGTTTCTAATGTTCTTATTACAGTTTGTAACATATACTCTTATGCACTTTTTTATTATATTATTATATTTGCATGCAGTTAGGTCTATCACTGTCAATTTCTGCCATTTGTTGGGGATATTATGGATGTGGACCGCATCCGTGGTCAAATGGATGGAGCGTCTGCTCCAAGAGCGGGAGGTCAGTGGTTTGATCTCATGGACGTGTACGCGGCTTACCTAAAGACGTTAAAAAATGATAGCTCAGTGGGCTAATACAATAAAACCACCATCCACAAACAAACAAACAAACAAACAAACAAACAAACAGACATACCCATACAGGTGCGCGCAAATACATTCACGTCGCTGTGTGTATGCAATAATCCAGAACGAGACGTTAAACCCCATTTAATCTCAACCGTTCTGATGGTTACGAAACCAAGCAAGTGTAATTTCACTGAAGTTCAGGAATCTATATTTCAATAAGGATAGGACCTCGACAGTAATTCACTGTTGTCCAGTTGGACTGTGGTTCATCTTTAAACAGATTTTAGCTATTGTTTAATATTTTAGTTACATTCTTTGTATCCTAGGTGCGGTAAAGCTAATGAAGCTTACTGTAAATACTCCCGATGAAAGATGCGTATATCTTTCTGTGTCTGATCAACACTCGAAAACAAAATGGTTCATTATATAAAGACAATGATAGCAATGATATTTGAAATGAAGAAAAATCATATTATGTACATGTACATGTCAAACCCCCTCTGCTAACATGTGTTGTAGGGCAATTAGCCAAAAGCAAGATAATAAGGTGCCGATGGCGAGAGACTGTTGAATCATACTATTATATCTTTATCCTATATCAAACGTCTAATGCGGTTTGTAAAGCAATGGCCCGAACAGCGTTCGACAGACAGGCATTCCACTTTACGTAATAGTAACATTTTAAATAGCATATAATTTTTTCATGAATGAAAAACATGTCTGGTTCCCAAACCAATCCCACTATCCTTATCTAACATATAGGGGTGACACACATTTTGCTCCATGACAGGGCTTTAAATGTAACGCGCTGTCCTACTATCTACTTAGAACCCGACCTGACCTGACCCGAAATGGATGTGTAAAAGGGACATGACGTATCAAGGACATTCCCAACTGTATTATGACATCTGATCACACTGTCACTTGCGGGCAATGTTAGGTTGGCTCGTGCTTATACAATCGTTATTCAGTTATTCACATTCTGTCAGTTTGACGTGGGTGAGGTGAGGCGAAATTGGGTTTAGCGTCGCGTCCAAGGTTATTGCACTTTTAAAGCGACGTGCATATACATGTACGGGTGTGTTTGGCTGCTTGTACTAGTCCACACTAATGCCAATTGTATAGCGCTATCCCACTGAGATACCATGCCGTAGCTTTACATAACTAGCCCACTAAGACACAGTATATTAACTCCGAGGCGACCTGACCTAGTTTTATCCCCTTAATGCAAAGTGCCAGGCAGGGTAACAGCAAGTACCATCTTCTAATTATAACGTATTTTGGTATGACGCGGAAGGGGATCGAACCCCCGACACTCCGCTCGCCGGACGGACGCTTTACCACCAGACCACGGAGGCAGAATATATAGGAATATAGGAAGAAAGACCTTCGTAAATCAGGTCTTAGACATTGACCACTTTGGTATAATGTTCACAAACCTTGAAACATAATCAGGACGAATCATAAGATCCTGGCAATCCAAAGGGATGCAACTCTAGACAGCGATTTGTAGCGCTTTAGACAATGGCTTTAATATATGCGTGTTTCTTCTTAGCTGTCATTTTATGAGAATATTCTCTTCCTCAAAACATTTTGGTATGTAATCCCTGATACAACCAAAGTCCGTTGTACGATTCCGACTACATGATACCAAATACATATAAGGATTCACTTACGCAAACATGCATAAAAAATATGAACCTTACACATACAAAATCTCTTTCCCTCAAAACTACTAGAAATAATTTCACTATGTCCGCATTAAATAGACAAAAGGGGGCAGTATTGAACATGTAGGTACATGCAGCTGGTTGGACAAAACTTATATCAGCCCCATTCCATTAGACACAGTAACTGATTACCCTTAGCAAGTTACAGTTAGAACAAAGGAATCATCATGCGACTACAGTATGACATGCTCTGATACGTACATGAGAAATATGATCTTCAAATGAAATATTTCAGACTGGACACGGATGTCTGGTATTGCGATCAATTACCATTTGTATACTGCAGTGTTTTACTTCCAGGTACGGAATTCCTTGCATTCCGTCCGAGATGTTGTCCACGTGTATTCATTCCTAACATATACAATATATATCAAACCTACTGGTATTCGGGGCGGTCGGGTAGCCTAGTGGTTAAAGCGTTCGCTCGTCACGCCGAAGACCCGGGTTCGATTCCCGACATGGGTACAATGTGTGAAGCCCATTTCTGGTGTCCCCCGCCGTGATATTGCTGGAATATTGCTAAAAGCGGCGTAAAACCATACTCACTCACTCACATCCAACTGGTATTCGAGCATGAGGAATTTATTATGTAAATGCCAATGGTCTATTTTTATATATTTTCCTTCATGCCAAATGTTCATTCATATTTTGTAAAGTTGTGAAAAGGTAATATTAGGATTGTATTAGGCGATGGCTTATTACCAATTATTAATAAAAATACAGCACCAGTATCACAGCAATAGCTCCAGTAAGGCGGTTTGAATAGTAATAGCTTCACATTTGAACCACATTATCATCAATGAGGACTTGGCTATCAGTTAGAATTATCACCGTGAGTCAAGAAGTAGGCATGTTCTTGGGCTCCAACTGTGCTAATATTTAGATTAGGGATTTCTACACATTTCTACACAGATTGGCAACAAAGGAATTTGGCCAAGAACTTAAGCTTCGGGTATATCGAAATCTGATATCATGCAATACAACACGAATATCCATTTTCCTTCAACTGATTTACCCATCTGAACTAGAAATAAAATCGCCTAGTGCACCGCCTCATCTGTTTCATATTTACATCAAATGCCTCCCACAAGACTATGACAAGTGGGATGCCTACACATTTCCAATAGTCCTCTTTCCCTTTATGTCCATCAATATTCCAGCAGCTCTAGTTTTTGGTGTCAACATTTCACAAAGTTTGAGGGAATTTTTGAGGTACATGCCCGAAGGTTGTTTCACCAGGATGGCAAGCTTTAGAAAACTTCAAAATGTTTTATGGTGGACATGTGGAGGTCTTTCCAAATTCGACGCGATGTTGGTGACAAAAATTATGTCAGATGCATTCCCTTTTTTCCTTCCACATGTTCTCATGTTTTTTCAGATGAACAAACAATTTAATTTCCTTCGCATATGTTAGTGACAGGTGCCACCAGAAGGGCAGGAGATTCTCACCTTCTCGCGAACATTTGGTATCATCTTTGGTATGTAAACTCCAAGGGTAACGTTGGCATTGTTAAATGTGAACAATCCATGCAATATCTAAGGTGAGTTGAGCTGGTGAATGGTTGGAAGATCTCCAGAGAGGCAGGAGACGCTCACTTTCTCGCGAACATTTGGTATCATCTTTGGTATGTAAACTCCAAAGGTAACGTTGGCATTGTTAAATGTGAACAATCCATGCAATATCTAAGGTGAGTTGAGCTGGTGAATGGTTGGAAGATCTCCTCAAAGATGTAAAATTGAATGTGTCGGTGTATACATGTACGATCAAATCGACCTACATAACGTCCCCAAGCACATATTGTTCTCTATAATGTAGACTTTACCAGACGTCTATCCACAGTTCAAATGTAAATAAAAAGTCAAGCGACTTTAGAAGAAGTTTTGCATATTTATTCAACAGTTTGTAAATCAAATTCACAAATAAAGAACAGAAATGTTGGCAGACATACTTGGTTTGCCTGAACTCATGTGCGTGAAACAAAAATATGCATAAATATCACATACACTAGAAAGGTTCCGATTGGCTGATTTGCTGACAGAGCATACCACTGACTTATAAACGACCATTGCAGTGCCCCGGCAACAACGAAAGCAGAGCATTGCACCGCGTTTGCATTTTGTGATATGCTGATTCTACAAACACTTTCTTCGAAACTTCCAATAAAACATTGTGTTGCTTAATCTCGTGTCAATCAGTCCTATCGGATTCTCCCTTTTTTCAAATGAATATACATGTAATTGTACAAACGTCCGAAATTCCATCGTGTAATATTGAAACACTGATAATATCTCCATGTCAGATCTGACTGATTTACGTGGTCTTCATAGAATACTATGTATCCCGCCTCGGAGGGAAAGATATTTATCAGTGGGAAAATAAGTCCCTTATACCCTGCCACGAACAGAACACGGTGCACGTGGATTTTTGAGAGGGTGAATAAATCCGTTAAATCCCGCTTCTTAGCAAACAGACCCGAGTCAATGAAAGTCACTTGACATAGCAAACGTTACCCTCAGCTCAATCGAACAGCTGTTTCTTTCAATTTTGAAATGTTTTAATTTATTTACAACGTCATATGAAAACATGTTATAAATTCGTTGTGTCAGTATCAACCAGGAAACGTGGTTATGTGCGTCCATCGTTATGTTTAATACCTCCGGCTCGTGGCATCAAACCTAACGCGGGACGCATATAACCATATGTACACCTCCTGATACTGCTACATTTTATATCATACCCAAGGGGCGGTCGGGTAGCCTAGCGGCTAAAGCGTTTGCTCTTCACGCCGTAGACCCGGTTTCGATTCCCATCATGGGTACATTGTGTGAAGCCCATTTCCAGTGTTCCCCGCCGTATTATTGCTGGACTATTGCTAAAAACGGCGTAAAACCACACTCACTCACTCACAATACCACACAACAACATATAACTCATATATTTCTCATTTAAAGTCGTATTATCTACGAATGAAGTACGTTCATTGACATTTCCTACAGAGAATAATAAAAGGATTTTGTTTCAAACATCATATTCTACATGTTGTTGTAATTTGTTCCTTTTGTTGTAGTCACCACAAAGCACGAATAATACAAATTATTGAGGACACGGAGATTCCGATCAAAAAGTAATCAATTTGTTGATACCTTACAAACAAAATTGATCAATTCAGCATTTAACCAATTCCATAAATCCGTTTGAGGACAGAACACCTTGTTGTGTCAGAAATAAATTCATGCAACAGTGGTATTCGATTAACATATCTTACGAACAGAAACAGCCCCATCGTTTAACATATCTTATGAACAGAAACAGCCCCATCGCGGCCTTGGAGATACTGATGAAACCGCCTGACTTCCACTTGCTTCCACTTGCCCTGAGATTCCAGTGTTCGCATGCGTCCTCTGAAATCCTCAGTTTCAGTGTGACCGTCAGTAAACGTTGTGTAAAAGCCTGTATTGACAACGTATCCGCCTGTTTGAAACAATAATCATATTATTTCAACTGAACCTATCGAAACAATAAATTATATGATGAAAAAATGTATGACAATTACCAAATTGATATTCAGTCATGAATCAAAATCAATTTTACACCTGCATGTTCATTTAGCTGTGATGAAAATCGATACATATTGAAGTTAAAATTACATGATGGGGATGGGTTGAACATTTAAAGTATTCAGGTGCATTGGGGCATGTGGGCGTTATATTTTATAAATGTGGGAGGAAAGGTCGTATAAGACCTCCTTTCGTATATGTTTACCAATTTGGTGAGCACGGCGTAGCGACGCAACTCTGCTTAGCGAATTGCCGCACCTTAGATGACTGGCCACCTATGCCACCCATCAACTGTTTCAGATGATTATAACGAAGGTTATAGTCATAGCATTCTATATATTGTGTTCTCTAATTTTTCCTACCACCATAATCGGGGCGATTTACGACAAGCCAGCTATTGTATTAAATACCCTGTTTCAGGTTACAACAACGCACAGAACATTAAATACATCAATTGGTCATTATGTTGTTTTTTCCTAAAAGCAGTACTCAAACAAATACTCATGAATTTTGACCAAGTATGGCTTGTGAAAGGACAATCAGGCCAATAGCGAACTAATATCAAGTACATCAAAAGTCTCATGGCTAGCTAACGCTGCTTCGACATTGATTTCAAGATGATAATTCAAACTAAGTTAGAATACTGATAAGAGTAGAGAGACATACTATATGAATGTCAAGTGACATAAATTTTGTAATCAAGGATTGAAGCGATGTTTTTCGTTTTGGTATTTTATAAAATATTTTCAGCTTACAGTGTTGTATGTCGTTTGAAACGTTAATAATCGTTGTCAAGAATGCCGAGGCCATGCACACACCTTTTTTAACAATCCTAATGAGAGTCTCAAAGGCTTGGATGGGTAGTCTTCTCATAATGTCAGTACTAAGTCCACATATGATAACTGCATCATATGTATCTACAACACGCAAACACATGAATGAAAGGGCAAGTCATAGTTAAATATAATTAGTTAATGATCCACCCTGTAATTGTATTACATTTTCAGTTTGGGTGAGAATTACATGAAGATTTATGCACTAAGAAAGTACAAAACTATTATATAGGTAAGTAATTATATAATATTTAATATCATATCTTACAAAATACCAATCCTTTACACCATTTCAGTATGTTTTGAACATCGCATCCCACTGACGATTAATGCAAACTCAAAGCATACGGGATGTCGCATCATTCGTTGAATACACAGTCTGTTCTAGTACCGTAAACAGAACACACTATTTCTGTTTCTTTAACATTATGATATCTAAAACGGAACTATTTTATATATTACCGTCATTGATATCAAGTGCGTTTTCCCCTAAAACGTCAATGATGTAGCGGCCATAGAGTTTCTTCTTTTTGGCTTCTAATAACATTCCCTCTGATGCATCAAGCGCATCTAGTTCCAGGAAATTATAGTTGTTGAGCTGGTAAAATGAATACATGTTATCAATTTCAAAACATTATAACTATATATCATATAATGCATGTTTAATAATAATAATAATAATCCCACCACCCTCGCTCTTCCCTCATTTGCTTATATTTACTAGTTATATTGGGAGAGCGTGGTTTTGTGAAGCATGTCAAGGCTCGTGATGAAAACAAGGCATTCCATAGTTTCTTTCTTAAACGAGCCAAGGCTGTGGGACATAATCTTAATGTCAGTGTTGATTTTGTTGATCATTCTGTATTGCTGGACGGTACAGAAATGAGTGTCACCCCAAGCAGAAGTGCCATGTCAAATCGCCCTAGACTTGTGAAGGAGAGGCTATCTGAACGACCACTGCATCGAGTTGATTTGCAGTGTGTTGAAAAGAGAAGCAACCCTGCAGAGTCCTTCGTTTGGATGAAGTCGGCTAGCCTGAAAGGTGAAACAGAAGGCTTTCTGGTAGCCGCTCAGAACCAGTCGCTTCCCACTCGAAACTGCAGTGTTGGGGAGTCTTCACATTCTCCGAAACGTTCTCGTTGGGTTTGACTTGGCAGCGCTTCCTGGGAGAAGTCCATTCGCTGTTTGGGCTGCATGTAGAGGAGGCAAGGGCCCTGAGTAGATGATGAGCTTAACCAGCCTGACCAAGCCAGGATCACCCAAACCCTCATTGCTTTTTTTAAAGTTTCTTAACTTTCATTGATGATACGGTGGTTTCAGGTGTAAACATTCTGATTCAATTAGCTAAATATCATATACAATTACCTCAATCGCACAGAGGCCTGTGCCAGCCGCGACATCTAACATACAGACATTGTTTCTGTTGCTTGGAAACAGCTGTGCCACTGTTGCAGCTGTTTCCCTGGGACCGTTGTAGTTTATAACGACCATAGCCTGTCAAATAGTCAATGATCACAATTAGAAAACTATTCAATTCATGGAAATACAGCGTAAATGAAATATACGTTAACGCCAAAGAATGATTTAGTCGGGATTGTCTGCTGAAACAGACTCCATTCGTCTTAGGCGGCATAATAGCTGTGACAAGTACATGAATCATCCCGAAATACGCGGCTAGACTTCCAATGCAATCACTATTCTGTCTGCTATGGAAATTAAATATTAATGACTATTGAAGTAAAAGACAAAGGGCACGTAAACGTTGGGCACGTTGTGAATGAAAATATATCGTGTCTAACGCATCTTCTAGCTAAAAACGAGCTGTAATATAGGTATTTAAAGTGTTCGTTTTGTTTGTTGTTTAATGCCGCACTCAGCAATATTCCAGCTATATGACGGCGATATGTAAATAATAGAGTCTGGACCAGACAATCCAGTGTTTGACATCATGAGTGAGTGAGTGAGTGAATATGGTTTTACGCCGCTTTTAGAAATGGGCTTCACACATTGTACCCATGTCGGGAATCGAACCCGGGTCTTCGGCGTGACGAGCGAACGCTTTAACCACTAGGCTACCCGACCGCCCTTGACATCATGAACATCGATCCACACAACTAGGATCGATGACATGCATCAACCAAGTCAGCGAGCCTGACCACCCGATCCCGTTAGTCGCCTCTTACGACAAGCATAGTCCTTTTTTACGGCAAGCATGGGTTGCTGAAGATCTATTCGACCCCGGATCTTCACGGGTCGTATTTAAAGTGGATAGTAAAATATAAAATTGAACAGTTACAAAATCCATACTTTTTCGTACTGATGACTAATCTGCGTGTAGCGATCAAAGACCACTTTGCGATCCACTTTCTTGTCAGTAATCTGCTCCAGAATGTCCAGGGCTTCAGCTTTGTCGTCTTCATTGTATTTCGAGGAATATACTGTAGTCATTTTGTCCTGAAAATATGGAATACACACTGTAAAATATGCCTCGAATTCAATAGATTAAATCTGATGACATTTGTAGGAAGGCGATTCTAAGTAAGCTTTCGTGTAAGTAAAGTGCTTATAATGACAGTGAACAATTGCTTGAGTCCTATGGTCATAACAACCACAAAGCCATTCGATTGCTTTCATTAATAGCCAAATCTCTGTTACACATTTAATTCTACTGTACCTCTCTCCGCTGTTGTTTCGTTGTATAATTGAAGATCTGCGCATCGACAGAGTTGTACAACCAAAACAACCATTTATTCATGATCATACCGATACATCGTAGATTATCAGGCAACACCTGCCCGAACGTCGCGCAGTTTATTTTTCACAGATGGTACAGTTGACAATTTAAACCATCGCTGCGCCTGACTATCTAGTTTTGTGGCTATGATATGCGTATGACGACACTGAAAGCACACATACTCGCATCTTTCAAAGAGAAAAGTTATATTTTAAAGATTTTAATAATAACTGCCTTTGCAAGAATTCAACGCATTTGATACAGTCACATTCGACATTCTTTGAGCAGGGTTAATCATGCAGCTGTGGCAACATTTGGTACATCCACAAGGTAGCTTCCAGTAGGACTAAATGTAGACTCCAATAATTACATTGGCAGTCCCAGTCCGTTTTTTATGACACAATAAACCATGGATGAAAGTCCCTATTTTAGTAGCATGTTCGTCAAATGTGTATTTTCAAAAGCAAAGCGATATTTAAAATGATATTACAGGCGTGTTGGAAAGTCCGACTCGTCAAATCCAGATTATCGGACTAATTGTGGACCTCACACTTGAGGTCCCGCCGGACGCACTGAAAGGTCTGTTTTACCCTGGATCTACATGTACATACGTATTATGACAGTAGAGTGTGCGATGACCGAGTCGGGTCGCGGTATTGCCCTTTTACGTCCATAGCAGGAGCCGGTATCCCAGCTATCTGGATAAAACATTCTTGTCATGGAATGCATTTTTTGCAGTCATACATTAGTCACAGTGAATTCCTTTCGCTCTGACTCACACTACACAAAATCCACAAACAAGAAAAGGGTACACACAATCTACGTTACTACCTGCTATTGTACTGATTGAAAAACAAACTTTGGGGGAGGGGGATTACATCGATTTGGTGATAGAAGCGCCTGCTACCACCACGAGCATGTAAATGTATCTTACCTTTGAAATGGAAAAGCTTTTATTGAAGAAAAAAAACCCTTCTTTATTTTTTCGTGTGAGGGAATTAAAATGCAAATAAAAAGCGACTAAACCTTTTCAAATATTCATAAGAAATCTCTACGATGCACCCGCGGTGTGTCTTAAGTTGTTCCCCCAAAGATATAGCTAGGCTACGCAGATAAACGCAGTGGTCGAACAATCGCATATAAAATGAGGAGAGATATGACAATCGATATAAGGAGAAAAGGTACAGATGACCGGCGTGAGGATTGTGAAAATATGCTGGAAATACCAGATCTTACCCCACCTGTTAATAAAATGGACTTGTCCAACATTTTTGAGGACAGATTCTATTCAGGGAGTCATCATTGTAGTACATGATGTTGATATCTCATATAAGAAACAACGACTGGTCGTTGTTTATCTTACAATAACATACTGCAGGGAGAATAAACCACATGGGGCCGCGCCAATCAGAGTTTATTATCCCTGCAGTGTTTTTTTTTGTATGATAAACAACTCCCACTCGTCGTTTATTTCTTAAATATGGTATGGGGATTCCGGGTAAGAATACATGTCCCCATACATGTCGTAAGAAGCGTCTAAATAAAACGATGCTCAGGATGTCAATCACTGGATTGTCTGCACGTCACCATATAGAAGGGATATTGCTAAATACCGCGTTTAACAAGAAGCAAAGAAACCCATTGACAAGAGCACTCTGTCGGGGGATGCAAAGTAACAACTTGTGATAAATTATGGCGTGTTACATTTCTAGTTGCGCACCGTTACGTACAGCCTACTGTAAGTTGCCTTCATGAAAACATCACAGTTTGTAACATACCAGACACGGAAACAAACATAATACTACAGGCATTGCAGAGTATTCGAATAATTTCACAATGCAATTATTAATACAAAATCACGATTCATTCTTACCATATTTCTGGAAGAATGTCAGATGCGACCAAGTAGTCAGTTGTGTAAGTCTGAGGACCCAGTAAACACGTCACCTACTCTCTGGTTGTACAACGACAGACTGAAGGCTTCTGGAGAGGGTGACATCGACAAAAGTGACGGATCAGCTGATGATTCGGTAACATGGGAAAGAGATAAAGACCACCTGCTGTTGATAACATTTGGATAGTGACACAAAGGATAATTCCTTATAATGATTGCTGGAGATAATTATTATACCATAAAATGATTTCAACCGCCAACTGTTAGCTGCTGATAACATTTTTTATATATACTCACACGCAAAAGAAACGCAAGTCGAGTATGCAGTACACATGTTATTTATTTTCAACAGTAAAGATAAGATATACTAACAGGGCAAGATTGACAAAAATTTAACTGAAGACAGTTGAATGAATTAAAAGGCAGATGACATAATTGTTTTTTTCAAATGTTAAGGGCTTACACAGTTTCGTGTCAATACCCAAAATGTCAGTCAATACCTGGTGTGACCACCATTAGCATTGATCACTGCCACACATCTCCTGTGCATTGAGTGGATCAGACGATTTGTGAAGGCCCTAGGGATCCTCCTGCACACACCCCGAGCAGCTGTGCGTAGTTCATCGGCAGTTGTAAGGACAGTCTGTTCTAGTACCGTAAACAGAACACACTATTTCTGTTTCTTTAACATTATGATATCTAAAACGGAACTATTTTATATATTACCGTCATTGATATCAAGTGCGTTTTCCCCTAAAACGTCAATGATGTAGCGGCCATAGAGTTTCTTCTTTTTGGCTTCTAATAACATTCCCTCTGATGCATCAAGCGCATCTAGTTCCAGGAAATTATAGTTGTTGAGCTGGTAAAATGAATACATGTTATCAATTTCAAAACATTATAACTATATATCATATAATGCATGTTTAATAATAATAATAATAATCCCACCACCCTCGCTCTTCCCTCATTTGCTTATATTTACTAGTTATATTGGGAGAGCGTGGTTTTGTGAAGCATGTCAAGGCTCGTGATGAAAACAAGGCATTCCATAGTTTCTTTCTTAAACGAGCCAAGGCTGTGGGACATAATCTTAATGTCAGTGTTGATTTTGTTGATCATTCTGTATTGCTGGACGGTACAGAAATGAGTGTCACCCCAAGCAGAAGTGCCATGTCAAATCGCCCTAGACTTGTGAAGGAGAGGCTATCTGAACGACCACTGCATCGAGTTGATTTGCAGTGTGTTGAAAAGAGAAGCAACCCTGCAGAGTCCTTCGTTTGGATGAAGTCGGCTAGCCTGAAAGGTGAAACAGAAGGCTTTCTGGTAGCCGCTCAGAACCAGTCGCTTCCCACTCGAAACTGCAGTGTTGGGGAGTCTTCACATTCTCCGAAACGTTCTCGTTGGGTTTGACTTGGCAGCGCTTCCTGGGAGAAGTCCATTCGCTGTTTGGGCTGCATGTAGAGGAGGCAAGGGCCCTGAGTAGATGATGAGCTTAACCAGCCTGACCAAGCCAGGATCACCCAAACCCTCATTGCTTTTTTTAAAGTTTCTTAACTTTCATTGATGATACGGTGGTTTCAGGTGTAAACATTCTGATTCAATTAGCTAAATATCATATACAATTACCTCAATCGCACAGAGGCCTGTGCCAGCCGCGACATCTAACATACAGACATTGTTTCTGTTGCTTGGAAACAGCTGTGCCACTGTTGCAGCTGTTTCCCTGGGACCGTTGTAGTTTATAACGACCATAGCCTGTCAAATAGTCAATGATCACAATTAGAAAACTATTCAATTCATGGAAATACAGCGTAAATGAAATATACGTTAACGCCAAAGAATGATTTAGTCGGGATTGTCTGCTGAAACAGACTCCATTCGTCTTAGGCGGCATAATAGCTGTGACAAGTACATGAATCATCCCGAAATACGCGGCTAGACTTCCAATGCAATCACTATTCTGTCTGCTATGGAAATTAAATATTAATGACTATTGAAGTAAAAGACAAAGGGCACGTAAACGTTGGGCACGTTGTGAATGAAAATATATCGTGTCTAACGCATCTTCTAGCTAAAAACGAGCTGTAATATAGGTATTTAAAGTGTTCGTTTTGTTTGTTGTTTAATGCCGCACTCAGCAATATTCCAGCTATATGACGGCGATATGTAAATAATAGAGTCTGGACCAGACAATCCAGTGTTTGACATCATGAGTGAGTGAGTGAGTGAATATGGTTTTACGCCGCTTTTAGAAATGGGCTTCACACATTGTACCCATGTCGGGAATCGAACCCGGGTCTTCGGCGTGACGAGCGAACGCTTTAACCACTAGGCTACCCGACCGCCCTTGACATCATGAACATCGATCCACACAACTAGGATCGATGACATGCATCAACCAAGTCAGCGAGCCTGACCACCCGATCCCGTTAGTCGCCTCTTACGACAAGCATAGTCCTTTTTTACGGCAAGCATGGGTTGCTGAAGATCTATTCGACCCCGGATCTTCACGGGTCGTATTTAAAGTGGATAGTAAAATATAAAATTGAACAGTTACAAAATCCATACTTTTTCGTACTGATGACTAATCTGCGTGTAGCGATCAAAGACCACTTTGCGATCCACTTTCTTGTCAGTAATCTGCTCCAGAATGTCCAGGGCTTCAGCTTTGTCGTCTTCATTGTATTTCGAGGAATATACTGTAGTCATTTTGTCCTGAAAATATGGAATACACACTGTAAAATATGCCTCGAATTCAATAGATTAAATCTGATGACATTTGTAGGAAGGCGATTCTAAGTAAGCTTTCGTGTAAGTAAAGTGCTTATAATGACAGTGAACAATTGCTTGAGTCCTATGGTCATAACAACCACAAAGCCATTCGATTGCTTTCATTAATAGCCAAATCTCTGTTACACATTTAATTCTACTGTACCTCTCTCCGCTGTTGTTTCGTTGTATAATTGAAGATCTGCGCATCGACAGAGTTGTACAACCAAAACAACCATTTATTCATGATCATACCGATACATCGTAGATTATCAGGCAACACCTGCCCGAACGTCGCGCAGTTTATTTTTCACAGATGGTACAGTTGACAATTTAAACCATCGCTGCGCCTGACTATCTAGTTTTGTGGCTATGATATGCGTATGACGACACTGAAAGCACACATACTCGCATCTTTCAAAGAGAAAAGTTATATTTTAAAGATTTTAATAATAACTGCCTTTGCAAGAATTCAACGCATTTGATACAGTCACATTCGACATTCTTTGAGCAGGGTTAATCATGCAGCTGTGGCAACATTTGGTACATCCACAAGGTAGCTTCCAGTAGGACTAAATGTAGACTCCAATAATTACATTGGCAGTCCCAGTCCGTTTTTTATGACACAATAAACCATGGATGAAAGTCCCTATTTTAGTAGCATGTTCGTCAAATGTGTATTTTCAAAAGCAAAGCGATATTTAAAATGATATTACAGGCGTGTTGGAAAGTCCGACTCGTCAAATCCAGATTATCGGACTAATTGTGGACCTCACACTTGAGGTCCCGCCGGACGCACTGAAAGGTCTGTTTTACCCTGGATCTACATGTACATACGTATTATGACAGTAGAGTGTGCGATGACCGAGTCGGGTCGCGGTATTGCCCTTTTACGTCCATAGCAGGAGCCGGTATCCCAGCTATCTGGATAAAACATTCTTGTCATGGAATGCATTTTTTGCAGTCATACATTAGTCACAGTGAATTCCTTTCGCTCTGACTCACACTACACAAAATCCACAAACAAGAAAAGGGTACACACAATCTACGTTACTACCTGCTATTGTACTGATTGAAAAACAAACTTTGGGGGAGGGGGATTACATCGATTTGGTGATAGAAGCGCCTGCTACCACCACGAGCATGTAAATGTATCTTACCTTTGAAATGGAAAAGCTTTTATTGAAGAAAAAAAACCCTTCTTTATTTTTTCGTGTGAGGGAATTAAAATGCAAATAAAAAGCGACTAAACCTTTTCAAATATTCATAAGAAATCTCTACGATGCACCCGCGGTGTGTCTTAAGTTGTTCCCCCAAAGATATAGCTAGGCTACGCAGATAAACGCAGTGGTCGAACAATCGCATATAAAATGAGGAGAGATATGACAATCGATATAAGGAGAAAAGGTACAGATGACCGGCGTGAGGATTGTGAAAATATGCTGGAAATACCAGATCTTACCCCACCTGTTAATAAAATGGACTTGTCCAACATTTTTGAGGACAGATTCTATTCAGGGAGTCATCATTGTAGTACATGATGTTGATATCTCATATAAGAAACAACGACTGGTCGTTGTTTATCTTACAATAACATACTGCAGGGAGAATAAACCACATGGGGCCGCGCCAATCAGAGTTTATTATCCCTGCAGTGTTTTTTTTTGTATGATAAACAACTCCCACTCGTCGTTTATTTCTTAAATATGGTATGGGGATTCCGGGTAAGAATACATGTCCCCATACATGTCGTAAGAAGCGTCTAAATAAAACGATGCTCAGGATGTCAATCACTGGATTGTCTGCACGTCACCATATAGGGATATTGCTAAATACCGCGTTTAACAAGAAGCAAAGAAACCCATTGACAAGAGCACTCTGTCGGGGGATGCAAAGTAACAACTTGTGATAAATTATGGCGTGTTACATTTCTAGTTGCGCACCGTTACGTACAGCCTACTGTAAGTTGCCTTCATGAAAACATCACAGTTTGTAACATACCAGACACGGAAACAAACATAATACTACAGGCATTGCAGAGTATTCGAATAATTTCACAATGCAATTATTAATACAAAATCACGATTCATTCTTACCATATTTCTGGAAGAATGTCAGATGCGACCAAGTAGTCAGTTGTGTAAGTCTGAGGACCCAGTAAACACGTCACCTACTCTCTGGTTGTACAACGACAGACTGAAGGCTTCTGGAGAGGGTGACATCGACAAAAGTGACGGATCAGCTGATGATTCGGTAACATGGGAAAGAGATAAAGACCACCTGCTGTTGATAACATTTGGATAGTGACACAAAGGATAATTCCTTATAATGATTGCTGGAGATAATTATTATACCATAAAATGATTTCAACCGCCAACTGTTAGCTGCTGATAACATTTTTTATATATACTCACACGCAAAAGAAACGCAAGTCGAGTATGCAGTACACATGTTATTTATTTTCAACAGTAAAGATAAGATATACTAACAGGGCAAGATTGACAAAAATTTAACTGAAGACAGTTGAATGAATTAAAAGGCAGATGACATAATTGTTTTTTTCAAATGTTAAGGGCTTACACAGTTTCGTGTCAATACCCAAAATGTCAGTCAATACCTGGTGTGACCACCATTAGCATTGATCACTGCCACACATCTCCTGTGCATTGAGTGGATCAGACGATTTGTGAAGGCCCTAGGGATCCTCCTGCACACACCCCGAGCAGCTGTGCGTAGTTCATCGGCAGTTGTAAGGACTGGGCGCACATTGTGCAGACGCCTTTGAACCTCATCCCACAAGTGTTCGATGGGGTTCAGATCAGGGCTGAAGGCTGGCCACGGTAGAACACGGGTGTTGTGTTGTTGCAGAAAGGCCATGGTAGCTCTGGCAACATGGGGACGAGCGTTGTCCTGCTGAAAAATGTGTTGTTGATGTTGTGCAAAAAAATGGAACAACGTGGGGTCTGATCACTTGGTCGATACACCGCTGAGCAGTGACGCCGTGTCCCCGACCTTGACCAACATTCAGGAAGCACATGGGTCCAAGTCTCGCATTAAGTCCAATCCCTGCCCATATCATGACGCTAGGTCCACCCCATGGATCCCTTTCGACAACGTTTCTGTCAGCGAAACGATCAGCTCGACGCCGCCATATTCTGACTCTTCCGTCTGCATGGGAGACACAAAAGCGACTTTCATCAGAGAAGATGACACGCCTCCACTAACGATGACGCCAATTGTGATGACCCTGTGCCCACTGAAGTCGTGCTTGTCGATGCCGTGGTTGGAAAACAGGACGACGTGCTAGTCGGCGACATCTGAGGTTGTTGGAACGGAGACGTCGGATCACAGTGTCCCGGCTAATGTGTCGATTATGTGTTCCTATGGTCTGTCGAGCACTTTCACTTGCAGTTAGGAACGGATGTCGCTGGTGTTGACGGGTAATCTGCCGATCTTTGTATCGATGTAGGAGACGGTAAATTGTGGTTATGTTAACGTTGAAATGACGGGCAACATCTTGGATAGACTCTCCAGTTTCCAAACGTCCGATAGCCTGGTTTCTCTGAATTTGAGTTAGGCGTGGCATTGTTGACCAAGGAGTGGTAGGTCCAAGAATCGGCCACAGTTTTATACCCACTACAGTTCGTGCATTTTCGATTTCGCGAGAATTGGGTGCATGATACCCACATATTCATTGAAATGGTGCGATTCGTTTTTTATGTTGCGTTTTTAGTCGGGGCTTCCAAAATGCAACCAAAAATATTGATAACACCATCAGGCTTCACTTCATGCTAAAAATCGTATCAATTTATGGTTCCGTGTTTGTTACCTATTTGCTTAAAACCACTTGCGTTTCTTTTGCGCGTGAGTATACATACAATTGTTAATGATAATGCAATCTGCAAGCTGGTGTGAGCGTGTGTTCATGCATGCATGGGTTCACACATACATGCATGCATGCATGCACGCACGCACGAACGCACGCACGCACGCACGCACGCACGCACGCACATAATTCAATTTATATAGATCAGTTGAGACTCATTATTCAACCAACGCTAGACGTCCAAAGCCACATATCATGAAACTATCAAATTTCAATTAAACACATGTCATATCTACACTTATGAACCAGCAATAAATACAAACAATCGCGAACACATGTTCGCTGTGTAATGCCAAGTCCTGGTCATTTAAGGACATAGTGCACGTCAAACCACCAAGAGACATAAGGCCACACGATGTATTTTCTAGGTGATCATGAATATTTTCTATCTGATCACTGATACAGTGAGTGGGTGAGTGTGGTTTTTAACAGTATTCCAGTTATATCACGGCGTGTCAGCTTAATGTGGGAGGAAAGCCCATGGGCCAAGTGATGCCGGTCTCAGACGTTTACCACTTCGGTGAAACCAACGAGCACGGGTATGGTGCTGACAAACCTAGAAACAAAATCGGGATGAACCGGGATTCGAACCAACAATCATAGGTTTCTGGCGCGACCAAGGGACGCAACTCTGCACAGCGAATCGTGGCGCCTTTAGACGAATGGGCCACCCGTGCCCCCTTGTATACAGAGATTATGACATTGACATCATGGTTATCACGTCCTGCTTGAAACTATTACCAGGTCGATCATCAGGTGAAATGATACAGACATAGGCCCATCACCTCGCATCAGTGGAGGAAGGTGGAGATCCAAAAACAAGGACTGGTCGGCTCGGTGTCATTAAACCTTGTCTGAGTGGGGTATTCATGTTAAACTGCGGCATGGTATCTCATTGGGCTAGCACAATAAATCGGCATCAGTCCGGACTAGTAGAAGCAGCCACACACATACATTGATGACTGCCGTGCAACATGGAATGGGTGAGGCAGTTGATGAAGGCCATAGGCACTTGAGCCAACACGCTGAGGAACGCCTGACGCAGTTCAGCTGTAGTTGTCGGCCTTGGTCGGACGTTATTCAGCTGTCTTTGAATCTCGTCCAAATGGTGCTCAAAGGATTTTAAATCTGGACTGAGGGCAGGCAACTGCATGGTTCTGATGCCATTCTGCTGGAGGAAGTCTGTTGATGCTCTCGCAGTGTGGGCACGGGCGTCATCATGCCGACGTGCAAAATGAGGTATGGCGTGTGGTCTCAAGACTTGTACCGAAGACTTGTATCAATGTACCGAACTGCTGTGACACCATTGCCTCTCCCTGGACCGATGTTGTGGAAGACCACAGGGCCGAACCTCTGTGCCAATTCCACCCCACACCATGATCCTCCGACCACCCCACGAGTCTCTCTCAACAACACAAGCATCCGAATAACGTTCCCCACGGCGTCGCTAGACTCTCTCTGCCATCTGCTGTTGAGAAACAGTAACGGCATTCGTTTCAGAAGAGGACTCTTTTCCACTGCCGGTGGCGCCAATGCTGGTGCTGTGTTGCCCACTGAAGACGGTCCCGGCGATGACGCTGTGTCAGGATGGGTCCTCGGTGTGGCCTGTGACAGTGGATGTATCTGCTCGTCTATCGTCGACGCACGGTGTGTCGCTGGTGTGTCCCCACGGTCTGTCGAGCAGTTTCCGCAGCAGTAACAAAGCGATCTTGAAGATGCTGTCGCACAATCTGACGATCCTGACGTCGGGTGGTGACCCTTGGTCATGGGGGAAATGGGGGAACGCAGGTGCATTTCAATTTGCACGGAACTCACGTGCATCGGGTTACCATGGCCGTTGCCGTGATGCGTTGGGGCGATCGGTTTTATTGTCAAATGCTTTGTTTTTTTATCATCAAATTTCATTTTTCCGGACAAGGTAAGGTTAAATTTTAGAACTTTAACAAAAATTACCAAGATATTTAAATGACAACTTTTCATGCAATAATTAATGTTACTTGGGGTGACGTTTCTTTTGCGGTTCAGTATATTTTGAAAGTACATGTATCTACAAATGACATCGATCACATTTCGAGAAGTGTTAGCGATACAATCGAATTTCCCCTTGATTAACTTGTGCGAGAACTCTGCATGTTCCTCTGGATGGTTCCACGATACAAAGAGGCAGATTGAATGTTGATTGTTTGTTCTTTAACGCCGCACTCTGTAATATTTCAGGTGTATGACGGTGGTCTGTAAATAATCAAGTTTGGACCAGACAATCCAGTGATTGGCATCATGAGCATCGATCTACGTATTGGGATTCGATGACAAGCATCAACCATGTCAGCGAGCCTGACCACCCGATCCCGTTAGTCGGCTCTTACGACAAGCATTGGTTTCTCATGGCCATTTCTAACTCGGGTCTTTACGGGTCCAAAGAAACAGAGGAACCAGTTGAAGGATTAAGCAAATATACATTTCCGTACAGCAGTAACAAAACTTGTCATTTGATAATTAATTTCGGTGTCTATGTTTCTACAACGAGTATGTTACTTTGTCATCTAATAAAGTAGGTGAAATTCCCTGTGAACAGTTATATAAAAGAATTCCCAAAATAATCACACGTCACGAGTTATACTGTAATCACTTAAAGATAAAACTGAAACATGTGTGAAAGCAATTCATGTCGTGTGATTAGTTTGTGAGTTTCATTTACTCAGATTTGACCCTTCACTTTCTTTGTGCTGTATGCTATCTGTGAACCAATAACACTCTTTGTTTCGTTCTAAGGGATATCACTCCTCGCGCAAGTTCAGCGGTAAATAAACGCACTTGGACGTTTTGATGTTCAGTTCTTTTTTATGATAATGTTAAGAGAATGTCCCTTTTCCTGTCTGGCGAAAGTCACGTTGAGAAAACACCTATATATAAACGTTTGGGTGAAGCACACCTGCTCCGAAGTCAAGTGATCATGTAAAAGTCATTGAGCTGATAAACGTTTTGAACCAACCAATGATAAATCTGAAATTCCATTTTCAGAATATTTGACGTTGACAGCAATATTGTTATGTGATTGGCCTTTTAAATCGAGTAATGTTAACAATAGTCTTTACCGTTGCTTCGAGTGCTATGCGTAAAATATTACAGATCACTGAATTTGGGTTGGAGACATAAAATGTGGCTGTTTCGATGTAAGATGGTAAGACGAGATTCCTGCAGGGCGGTTAGGGTCACTTTGAAATGAAATATCTCGGTGATTTGATGCATTACAAGTCATCGTATCCAAACTGTGTGGATCGGTGCTCGTGGTGTCAACCACTAGATTGTTTGGTCCCGGCTCAATTATTCAGAGACCGCCGTCATATAGCTGGAAAA